GCAGAGGCAGAGCCTGACTTTCAGCTGCCGAGTACAATAACATTAACCTCTTCCCACAGCTTGCCAGACTCATGTTGCTGCTGCGGCTGTCAATACATCAATGTCTGTAATGCACCCTCCTTGGGAGAAAAATGGAGCTTGTTGTGAAACATCTGAAAGATCTTAAACTCGCGGGGGGGGGGGTATAACCAAAGAACAGACATTTCTTAAGCTCACAACCTACTGGAAGTCCTCAAGCTGCAGTCATAAATGCACTATTTAGATGCTGCCATTGGAAGGAAGGAAGAAGAAGAAGAAAGAAGAAAGAAGAAGAAAGAAGAAAGAAAGAAAGAAAGAAAGAAAGAAAGAGACTGCAAGGTTGTTCCCTCCAGCCATTTAAATAATAAAAAAATGAATGGATTAATGAACAGCTTTTGTACTGAACGACCCAAACTCATGAGGCTCAAGCCTAGATCCACCAAAAATTGCTGGGTTCTGCCCCACAGCTGATTTCATAATGTTCTAGCAAATTGCATTAACTGTTGCACCTTATTTTAAGACAATGCACAATACCCAGTGGTTTTTTTACTAAAAATATGTTTAGGGGTACTCTTATTTTCCTACTCATATTGAAATTTTGAACAAGAAAGCTAAAAGTGAGCAGGGGGTGAGGAAATGGAAATGAATAAAAGCAACCACCACATGCACACGACCACACATCCAGCAAGAGTGGGGGGGGAGGGGCTTTAATAGAAGTTTTCACAAATCTAATGAAAAACAAAACAAATGGAATGAAAGCAAATAACTGAAGTCGGTGCCGTTTGTTGCAGGCACCAAATAAATGACACAAAAAGCCTGCAGCTGAACTGAAGGGGAGTGAATGACCCTGAACATTCATGAAAGTTTGCAAATCAAGATTAAAAAATAAATGCAAACTGGAAGGGAAATAGCACAATTAAAACAAATAGATTGAATGCATTGAAGTTTGTTGATGGTACCAAATCAAAGGATCTCTCCAAACTGGAGATGGTAAATGTGATTCAGTGTAAGCAAGGGTAAAGTGAGGTGAATGGGGATAAAAAAAATTATAAACTGTGCACACATAACATTTGATAACAGGATCAATGGAGACCAAATATTTCTGAATTTCTATGGAGTCAATGCACAATCTAGATCTATTGCATAGTTTTTACTCATGGAAAGCACTTCTTGAGAATCTGGATTTGTTCTGAAAACAAAAGTTCATTGCAGCTTGATTCTGTGTTACCCCACAGTGCATCCATTTGAAAGCACATGAAAACATATATAGGCAACTCTGGCAAAGTGTGTGTCTGTGTGTGCACACATCCACACCAGCCCAATGAAATTGTGGGTGGGTGTATACCAAGATTGCAACTTCTAACACTTCCTTCTTTATTCATCTGGGGTATGTGCAGAAAGAGAAAAATATGATAACCTAACCAAGGGGAGGATTTTCAAATGGGTATCATGTAACCACATCAATTTTTGTGGACAGAACGATTTTCAATCAATTTAGATTTAAAGCAGCATGTTGCAGATGAGCAAGAATGATTCCGGATTAATAAAAGGCATTTTTGTACTAGAAACAGGTTAGTGTGTGTGTGGCCCTAATTTCTCATGGGGTCTGAACTGGTGACGACTGACCAGGAATGAGACCTTGTGGTCATAGTGGATGGCTCAATTAAGATGCCACACTAGGGATAATTAAGAAAGGAATTGAAAATTAAGACTGCCAGCCATCATAATGCCATTATGCAAATCTATGATGTGACCACACATCAAAGAACTCTGTACAATTCTGGTCCCCTCAGCTCAAAGAGGACATTACAGTGGTGGAAAAGGCTCAGAAGAGGGCAACCGAAATAATGAAAGGAGCAAAGTGACTCCTCTACAAGAAAAGGTTACAACATAGGGAATTTTCAGAGAGATATTGCTGGAACTCAGGAGCATCCAGTGAAGCTGAATGTTGGAAGATTCAGGAGAGGCAAAAGAAATCACGTCTCCACACACTGTATAGCGACACTATGGATTTCACTCCCACAAGAGCTAGTGGTGGCCACTTTAGAATTCTCTTTAAAAGAGAAGTCCAGGCTAGGGATTCTTAGGAAAGGAACTGAAAATAAAATCCGCCAGGATCATAATGCTGTTACAAATTGTCGCCTCAAAAAGGATATTGTACAGCTAGAAAAAGTGCAGAAAAGGGCGAACAAAACAAGGGGGTGGAGCAGTGCCCGGAGGAGTAAAGGCTCCATTGTTTTGGAAAAGAATGTTTAAGTAGGAGCATGAGAAAGGTGTGTGGAATTACACAGGGCACCGGGAAAGAGGGCAGAGAGGGGCTTCTCTTCCTCTCATCATCTAAGAACCAGGAGTCATCTAGCCAAACTGAACGGTGGGAGATTCAGGACAGACAAAAGGAATGGAATCATAAAATTATAGAGTTGGAAGGGATTTGCTCCTTCCCACCCCCCATGGCTAAGCCAATGGCAAGGAATATTTATTCATTATTATTACTTTATTTCAATAATTTATATACTGCGTTACACTATGGTTTCTAAGTGGTGTACAAAAGAGCCACAAAGGAGAAAAAATATTATTATTAATAATAATTAGAGAGAGAGAGTCTTCATCAGATACCTAAAGTTTGGTTTGCAAGACTGTTTTGGCCAAGGCATGGTCACCTGCTCTATACCCAAAATCATATATGAAGTCAGCTGTGGGGCGGATAAAGACATAGAGGGGCCAAAAGCAGGTTGCAGGCACCACCAGCCAGCTGACCGGCAACAGATGGTTGGAGTTTGCGCAGTGCCATGTGCTCTGAAGCCCTAGCATTAGCTGGTTGTCAGGGCTTGATTGTTGGGGCTTCCGTCCACACAGTGAATCTGAAAATGGGTACCTTGACAAAATTGTGATGTCAGGTAGGACCTCCCCCCACACACATCTGCCAGACCTTACCCATGGGCTGGAGGAAATAACCCAGGTCAGTTTCCCCCACTCCCGGCCTCAATATGGCATTAGCTAGCACAAGATGGTTGCCATAGAAGTGGCCAACAAATTGAACAGCTTCAAAAAGGGACTGGACATTTTCAATTCTATTTATTTATTCAATTTCTATACCACCCTACAGCTGAGGAACACAAGGCGGTTTACAATCTAAAACCACAAAAATATATAATATAGTAACCAACAAAAACAATACCCCCACCCCCCACCCCAGTTTAAAATTGCCTAATTATGGGAGAAGAGGGATGTTTTTGCCTGGTGCCTAAATATATGCAATGAAGGCGCCAGGGCAGTCTCCCTGGGGAGAGCATTCCACAAAAGGGGAGCCACTATAGAAAAGACCTGTTCTTGGGTTGCCCCCTTCCAGACCTCTCATGGAGGAGGCACATGAAGAAGAGCCTCAGGTGATGACTGCAGTTTGTATGGAGAGAGGGGATCCTTGAGGTATTGCAGTCCTGAACCATTTAAGGCTTTATAGGTCAACACCAGCACTTCCATGGCGTATAAGACTATTGATGGCTGCCAGTCATGTTGGCTCTATTACCTCCAGTATCAGATGCAGTATGCAGATACCTCAAGCAGGAGAGCAATGCTGTACTCCTCCCCTGCATGCAGGGGCTCCTCTAATACTCTTACGTAAGAGATGAAGTGTTTGTCTCCCGTTTCTTTATCTCAGGGAATTCACTGACAGTCATGGATAACTCAGGCGCCCAGCATAGTCCCGTCTCTTCATGGGCAAAAGACGCCTTTGGGCTCCATTCCTTGATTACACGACACAGTATTTGGATGTGGACGGCCCGTTACCGAGAGAGGGTTGTACTTGTTGTCATTGTTGTTTTCAAAGAGCAGGAGTCTGGATTATGAGGGTGAACAGGATTGCTCAATTGCTTTCTGGTAACTTTAACAGTTGCAACATGAATACTGGAAATTCACCCAATGAAGCTTTTCTCAGCATGAAGATGGAAGTGGTGGGGGAAATTTACCTTGCTGAATTCCTGCTTGTTACCCACTCTTAAAGACACAAGAACCCTGTAATTCAAAATTAGCAACCCTGCATGTGAGGAAGCCATAAAATTAGGAACAGATGCAGCATATTTGGTGGCCAGTCTCTTCCCTGCCACAGATTTGGGGAAGAAATGTGTCTGTCTTGGTTCTTTTGGCCATGGATATCCATGCAACATTTGCCAGTCACCTATGATCTAAGGCACTAAAGAAGCAGCCTGCTCAGTGATTTAGCCTCGCCAGCACCTTCCAGTCAGTCTTCTACTTCCTTTTATCTGCAAGCTGTCACTGTCCCTTGGTGAACTGCCACTGATTCTGCAGCCCACTTGCCTTTCATTCAACAATTTAAAAAAAGAGAAATGAGGGAGGAGAAGCCAAATCTATGCTGCTGCTGCTGCTAATCACTCCCATTTATCGCAACAGCAGCAGCCAGGCAGGGGGAAAACAATCTGTCTGTAACTTGTAGAGCTCACTGTCATTCTTAGGTTTTTTTAGTACTGTGTTAATCCTACTCCTCTTATTTTTTTTTAGCTATTTTTTGAAAACCTGCGGTTCACCTACCACCACAGATACTTCCCAGAAAAGCAGTATAATTTGGGGCCGTGTATGCTATCAGCTCTGAAGAAGAGGTGTGAGGGGATTTGTGCATGAGCAGGACTGTCCTTGGCAAATGAGCATCTCTCTCTCTCTCTCTCTCTCTCTCTCTCTCTCTCTCTCTCTCTCCTTCAGTCATCCTGGAGAGGCTACACACCAATTAACATACTGAGAGGAAATCCACTAAAGTGATTGTAATGGAGGGTGACAGTTGAAGAAGGCCCATGCACCCCTCCCTTACCCACCCATTCAGGCCCACTGCCCCACAGAAATTGGTGAGAGGCCAACATCCCCAAATGCCACCGCTGAGGAGATTACATTTGACCAAGAGGTCTGCCGCCCTCTTGCAAAGGCCGCCACACCAGGCAGCTTCCTTGTCACAACCACAAGCACCCACCTCCTACCTGTCTCTTAGCGGTCCGCACTGCAGAGGCTGCTTGGGTTGGGCTGGCGCTGGGCGGGCACGGCTCACTGAGGCCCTGGACGACAGAGACTGCGGCCTCCCGGTACATCGGAGAGCTTGAAGGGTGGCCAGCCTGACCACTGCTCTGTCTATGGCAGCCTCGGGAGCATGCTGCTGAGTTTGGCTTCTTAGCTCTGCGGCTCCTGAAGAAGAGCTGGTGGAAAAGGAGGGAGGTGGGGGGACGAAAGAAAGAGAGCAGGGAGAGGCGACAGAGTGAGGATGCTCCCTCAGATGTGTGCACAGAGAATTGAAATGCACAAGAGGACTGGGCAGGATAGCACAGGCTCACAGCCTGACTCGTTCTCATTATTCCAGCAGACTGACTCCCGCCTGCCTGAGGCTCACTCCCGCAAAATTCAGCCGTTTCAAGTGCACAATGTTTAGAAGAGGGAGGGTAGGCTCATCCCAAAAGGATCACTGAATTGCACGCAGGGTGTGGGGGTGAGTTGGAGGGTTTCACCTTCCTGTTTGCTGGGATTTCAAGTCCAGCTTTGCCAGAAAAGCAAAAAGGTACATAAGCAAACAGAGATGCTTTGATTTATGTTTCTAGGCTGGCTGTTCCATGGCTGCTGGATTATCCCTTTGTGTAAGCAGGAGGAGGAATTCACACCTGCTCTCCCCAGAACAGCCGGGAGAATAATCTGGGCTGCATGGATGCTCCAGACCAGTGCGTGCTGTCAGCACCGGCCTCAGGCATCTAATTAAAACAGTGTTTCATAGGAATCTGGCCTTATATTGAAGCAGAATATTGTCTATATGACCCAGATTTGTCTGTTTCAGCTAGCAGCTCCAAGGTCTCAATCAGGGGTCCGCCTAGCCCAGTGGTTCTCAAACTGTTTTCTCTTCACCACACTTTCAGAATAAAAATTTGCTTGCACCAAAAATTTAATTGATAAGAAATACATTGGAAAACAAAAAAGAAACGATCCTAGCAGTGCTTGATTTATAACACGGAACACAACTACTTTATAATATGATCATGGGGCAGCCAGAAAGTAGGAAACAATGCAGCTACATAAAAACATGCATCATTCCCAAAATATAAACGAGCCTCTTACATACAGTGAGGGGGGGAAGTATTTGATCCCCTGCTAAATTTGCCCGTTTGCCCTCTGACGAAGAAATGACCAGTCCATAATTTTAATGGTAGGTTTACTGTATCTGTGAGAAACAGAATAACAACAGGGAAAACCCCCAGAAGACAAAAGTCAGAGATTGATGTGCATTATAATGAGTTAAATAAGTATTTGATCCCTTTGCAAAAGATGACTTGGTGGCAAAACCCTTGTTGGCAATTACAGACGTTTCTTGTCAGTGGCCACCAGGTTTGCACACATCTCAGGAGGTGTTTTGTCCCACTCCTCTTTGCAGATCTTCTCCAAGTCTGGCTAGGCCACTCTAGGACCTTAATGTGCTTCTTCCTGAGCCACTCCTTTGTTGCCTTGGCCGTGTGTTTGGGGTCATTGTCATGCTGGAATACCCATCCTCGACCCATTTTCAATGCCCTGGCTAAGGGAAGGATGTGCTCACCCAAGATTTGACGATACATGGTCCCGTCCATCGTCCCTTCGATGAGGTGAAGGTGTCCTGTCCCCTTAGCAGAAAAACACCCCCAAAGCATAATATGTCCCCCTCCATGTTTGACGGTGGGGATGGCGTTCTTGGGGTCGTAGGCAGCATTCCTCCTCCTCCAAACACGGAGAGTTGAGTTGATGCCAAAGAGCTCGATTTTGGTCTCATTTGACCACAACACTTTCACCCACTTCTCCTCTGGGTCATTCAGATGTGCACTGGCAAACTGCAGACGGGCCTTTACATGTGTTGTCTTGAGCAAGGGGGCCTTGCAGGCTCTGCAAGATCTCAGTCCTTCACGGCGTAGAGTGTTACCAACTGTTTTCAGGGTGACCATGGTCCCAGCAGAGACATCACCTTGCCAACAAAGGTCCGTATAGTTAAAGCTATGGTCTTCCCAGTAGTGATGTATGGAAGTGAGAGCTGGACCATAAAGAAGGCTGATGGCCGAAGAATGGATGCTTTCAAATTCTGGTGCTGGAGGAGACTCTTGAGAGTCCCGTGGACTGCAAGAAGATCAAACCTATCCATTCTGAAGGAAATCAGCCCTGAGTGCTCACTGGAAGGACAGATCCTGAAGCTGAGGCTCCAAGACTTTGGAGAAGACTCCCTGGAAAAGACCCTGATGTTGGGAAAGATGGAGGGCACAAGGAGAAGGGGTGACAGAGGACGAGATGGTTGGATAGTGTTTTCGAAGCTACCAGCATGAGTTTGACTAAACTGTGGGAGGCAGTGGAAGACAGAAGTGCCTGGCGTGCTCTGGCCCATGGGGTCACGAAGAGTCGGACACGACTAAATGACTAAACAACAACAACATGGTCCCAGCTGCCCTGAGATCATTGACAAGTTCCCCCCATGTAGTTCTGGGCTGCTTCATCACCGTTCTCCTGATCATTGCAACTCCACGAGATGAGATCTTGCATGGATCCCCAGACCGAGGGAGGTTGACAGTTATTTTGTGTTTCTTCCATTTGCGAATTATTGCACCAACTGTTGTCACCTTGTCACCAAGCTGCTTGGCAATAGGCTTGTAGCCCAGTCCAGCCTTGTGCAGGGCCACAGACTTGTCCCTGACATCCTTGGACAGCTCTTTGGTCTTGGTCATGGTGGCTAGTTTGGAATCTGCTGGATTGATTGCTTCTGTTGACAGGTGTCTTCTGTACAGGTACTGTAAGGAGCTGGGATTACAGGTAAGACCTCTCGCTTACAGCAGGTGCTTCTAATCTCAGCTCCTTACAAAGAGTGAAGATAGCAGGTAGCCCGACATCTGGCTGGTTGATAGGGGATCAAATACTTATTGCACTCATTATAATACACATCAATCTCTGATCTTTGTCTTCTGGCTTTCCTGGGGGTTTTCCTGTTGTTATTCTGTCTCTCACAGCTACAATAAACTTACCATTAAAATTATGGTCATTTCTTCATCAGAGGACAAATGGACAAATTGAAAACTTGCACTTTGCTTCAAACTTGACCATGATGTGCAGTAAAATTGTATTTGTAACCTCACCAAGAGTTGAAGGAGCATCATGCAATTCTTGGCTGATAGCCATGTCATCAAAGATCACTGCACCATTTTCTGCAGCTTGGTCAACAAGGTCATCTTTTATTTGGACATAAGATCAAGAGGATACAATGTGTTGCTTTTTGCCAGAGGGCTGTCAGTATCAGCTCTGTTGGATACAGTCCAAAGAACAAGATTTTATGTTCAAGTTTAAATTTGATCAGCTGCATCAATAGTTTGTTTTAAAATACAGTGGTACCTCGGGTTAAGTACTTAATTTGTTCCGGAGGTCCGTTCTTAACCTGAAACTCTTCTTAACCTGAAGCACCACTTTAGCTGCTGCTGCGCCACCAGAGCACGATTTCTCATCCTGAAGCAAAGTTCTTAACCCAAGGTACTATTTCTGGGTTAGCGGAGTCTGTAACCTGAAGCGTATGTAACCTGAAGCATATGTAACCCGAGGTACCACTGTACTGTAAATAATAGATGTCTGTATTGTTGATGCTTCAATTACTAGAAGGTAATGGATATAGATTTCTTTTAAAGACTCTATTTAGTTTGTTAGACCACTAAACCAGGAAGTGTGCATAAGCAGCCAATGACAGCTTATATGTCAGTTCAGTTCTTAGTGTTTAGGCTGGGAACCTCATGAAATTCCAGGACAAAGAACCATGTGGGCAATTAGGCAAGTCCACTCCCCCCTCTTCGTGCGGTGGCATTGCAGGACAGCAGAGGCTTCACTGGGGCTCCGACGAGGGAACTTGAACTTCAGTGCCCTTCCTGACAGGCGTTGGGTGCATAAGCCCCCGCTGCCTATCAGGAACTGGATCCTAGCCTGCCCCCTGCTTTGGCAAATGAGGATGCAGGCTGGGAGTTGGGCTGTGCCAGGGGGCAGAGCCAACAGAGCAGGTAGGCTTCCCTTGGATCTGCCCCTTGCCCCATTTAAGCGCCCACCCTCAGTTTAAGCTAATAGTCAGTGACTTTGCTGTGGCTGCGGTGGTCACTGTTCTTGATGGGGCCGGCTGGAATTTGCCCACTGGGCTAACTGGCTCTCACCCGGTGGTTTTGCCTACCTCATAGCAATTGTCACAACTGGTTGGGCATTGGGGTAATCCTTTGTTTTGGATGGACGGGAGGTTGGGGTATGGGAAGCCCAATGCCTAGTTCTGCAAGCACTGGAACTCCTGGAGTCTCTCACTGCTTGCAGATTGGGGTATATGCAACAATATATTATCCGAAATACTGTTGCATTTGTTCCCCATCTGCTCTGAACATGGTTAAAATGGAACATGCCTATGCTTGGAAGGAGCTGTGTTGATAGATGGGATTAATATTTTCTCCTTGGCATTTTACTGCAAAATAGAGGCGGGTGTTTTTATTGAACAGTATACGATAGCCGATGGGTGGGTTTCAAAAGAGACCCTCTCTATGCTGTGAATAATTGTATTGTTCAATTAAATCTGCAAACTGTGGGTCTCTTCCTTTCATTTTGAGCTCTTGTCCCAAAGTGGACAAGCACTGTGGAAGTTACAGCCTTCAGCTTAGGCTCTGTGGGGACATTGGGGACATGATTCCACCCAGAGAAAGCACCATCCAGAGTGATGCAACTTAAATCACTTTCTACAAACACTTTGCTTGTTCACCTCACAAGCTATTGGTCCCATTCTTCTTAAACACCATCCTGTCTGCCCAGCTCAGCTTTTTCAAAGACACCTTTTCCTGTGAGAGTGAGAACTTCAGTTTGTCAGTTTATTTTGTGTGAAGACATAAACTTAGAGCAAGATGTTAATTTAGGAAGATTTATTTTAAAATGCTCATGATGCTTATGTAACTGCGAAAAGTCGCAGCAAATTCTATAGCAACATGAAGATAGAAATACGTGTCTCTCCCTGTGTTTTCTTTGGTGCAGGGCGGGGGGATACTTTGCGCCTGCAATCCAGAACCTACCGGCACTTAACTAGGAGTAAGGCCAATTGAACTTTGAATAGAAGTGCATAGGTTCACACTGTGATTCACTCTGGGTTTGTACAAGCAAAGCTGTGCCTGCTCTGCAATTCTGCACAAGCACATAAAGCATAGAGTTTATGCATCCTGAGAACCTCAACTTTCATTTACTTTTTAAAAAGTACATTTCCAGCCTCCTTGGACATGAGAGGGAATGCTGTCACTAACTGAATTCCAAGTAGGACTGGGGAAATACCATTCAGTGATACCCGACCAGCCAAGCACTATTGTCATGGGAGTCGGATCTCTTTCACAGGTGTTTCAGTTG